CTACAGGCGTTACAATAATAGTTCCAAAATATTTAGCAAAGTAAAGGGATATGAAACCATTTTGCAATCTGCAACCAAATTTCAGCTACACCACAAAACAAGAGCATATGGTTTATGTCTTCATTTTAGCTATAATAGTTATAACAGGAAGGACATAGATTTGAAGGCAAACCAATACTTATAGCAACCAAGTTCTCTCTAGTTAGGATTTTATTCATCAAAATTATCCATATCAAAATGTTGATTTTTATTGGAACATATTTATTCCAAAGAGTACAATTATCACCCATGTTTAAGAGAATATCATAAAAATAATACCAAAAACAACTAACCGGTGAACGTGCCATTAGGATCAAGATCTCACTCCCATCTATCCATCCCTTAGTCGTTTGAACATTACTTAGCAGTACACTCAAGGTCGATAGCTTATAAGCTTTTGCTACTCCCCTAGAAAGCCTACGTCGATTCCATATCCTCCCACTAACTCACAAACAGTCAGTAATAAGACATTCTTTATCCACTTCTAAAGCATATAGTCTAGGGAATTCGATCCTTAAGCTGAAATCTCCTACCCAAGCCTCCTCCCAAAACCGAGTATAAGCACCATTACCTACCCTCCTTCATTTAGTAAAGTGAGGAATAATGTGTTTATTATCTAGTTATAAAAGAATCCACCATAGCCAACTAGCAACCAACAACTTTCCACTTTTCCCCATACTGAACCAATACTCTAAACCAATACTTCATTAATACCATGTATGCCTTTTATCACCATAACCCAAATATATCACTGAGAAAACGTCATCTCCAATTTTGTAATGAAAGCACAAGAAAGCATACAAACTTCCAAATCCAAAGTCGCCTTTATCTTTAGAACTTAACATGTTATCACACTTGATCCAACTTATATTCCCGTTGTAATCTTGTCCACCCCAAAAGAAGAGAGATCCCAAAGATTCCAATAATCGGTGTACCATATCTTAAGCCTTAAACAACAACATATAATAGATGCCAAGTTACAAAGGAAAATTTTAATGAAAATTAGATGTCCTCCATCAGAAAGTATATTCACCTTCCAAGACAATTTTTTTCATAAACCTTTGAATGCCAATCTTCCAACTATCCACCCTAGAAACCTTGGACATCATAGGCAACCCTAAGTAAGAAAACGGAAGAGTTTCAGCTCCTTTACGCCTTGTTCCCAAGTTCTATTTAAGAGGGAAGGTGAGGGATTTTAAAAGGAAATCGTGTTCTCGAGTTTAATTGATGGAAGGAAAGTGAGGGAAATGAAGGGATTTTGGAGCCATATTTCCCTTCCAAATTTTCTTCCCAAATTGGCGGATTCCAGAAGAAAGTGAGGGGAAGGAAAATGTGTTAGTTTTATTTTCTTTTCCTTCTAACTTGGGAACGCATAAACTTAAAATTTTCCTTCTAACAAAGACCACAACAATTCAATCAATTTTAATTCCAAACTTTTCAACAATTTCAATCTCAACAATTCCAAATCTCAATCTCAACAATTCCAAATCTCAATCTCAAGTCTCATTATCTCAATCTCAACAATCTCAATCTCAAGTCTCATTATCTCAATCTCAACCTATAAATCTCGACAATGACGATAACGAATGGGTCCAAGAAACACAATCATCTAGAAGAAGGCAACCAAAAGAAAAAGCTACAAAAAAAAAAAAAAAAAAAAAAAAACCCGAAGAACGACTTCGAACGAAGATGAGGAGGAAGCTTTATCTAAAGCTTGGATTTTTATATCGTGTGACTCGAGAACGGGCAACACGCAAACGGGAAACAGTTTTTGGCTTCGTGTTTTAGATAACTTTCACTCGCTTTTGGGAAGGCAAACGGATCGAACGTACGACGCGGTCAATGGAAAATGGCGTGAACTACGAGCGGCTTGCACCAAGTTTAATGCCATATATGAAAATCTGAAAAATATGCATAAAAGTGGTAGCAACGATTTCAATATTTTATCAACCGCTTGCCAACAATACAAGGTTACCAACAACGGTAAAGCATTCGACCACCAAAAAGCATAGGAAATTTGTCGCAAGGGTCCAAAATGGGTCCTTAAACCAGAGACTTCGCATTCGGAATCGACCACCGGCTCCAACAAAAGGCCAAGAACTTCCGAGTCGGATGTGGATTTTGGTGTCGACCTCTATAAGTTTATGGTTTTTTTAGTAATTTAGGTTTGAAATTTTATGTTTTTATGTTTTTTTAGTAATTTAAGTTATGTAATGTGTTTTTATGTAATGTGAGATATTTATTTATGTTTATTAATTATGTTTTTTATTTAATTTAAATATATATATATATATATATATATATATATATATATATATATATAAAAACAATAACCATTTCAAAAGGCTAGTAAACATGTAGTGGAATGATAACCATTAATTATGTTTTTTATTTAATCTAAATATAAAAATATATATATATAAAAAAATAAAAAAAGATAAACAATATGAAATGATAACCATTTCAAAAGGCTAGTGAACATATAGTGGAGGTGATGTGGCGCATAGATGACATCACTTTTCTAGTGAACATGTAGTGACCATTAGAGATACACACAAAAACCGGTTTCACTATTCAAAACCGAATCCAATCCGAAACCGGATTGGGTCAAAGCCGGTTTTGACCAAACCGGATCGGATCGGATTTAAAACCGAATTTTCAATCGGATCGTAATCCTATATTCCAAATCAGATTTGATACCGGATCGTAAACCAGATTTGCTAAAAACCGGATCCAAATCCACCCCAAAATCCAATTAAAACCCACTAAAATCGGTTTAAACCGGTTTCAAATCGGATTTGGATTTTGGTTGGAACCGGATCGGATTTTGACCGGATCCGGATTTTTGATTACGTAAGAGAAACCGGATTGGATTCGGATCCGGATCGGATTTGGGTTTTGTGCATCTCTAGTGACCATACTCATGGCCTAAAGGTCATGTCTTAGTTTGGTAATTTGGATAATAATTCATATCCTTTATCTTTATGCATAAATAATTTGTAACCATAGCTTACTTATTTGTACGGCTAAAAAATTAAATAATATTTGTCTTTAAAGTCTAAATACTTTATACGATAGTAAAGAATTTTGAAAACAAATAAGATTAAATAAGAATTCAAATGATGATTTAAATTTAAAAAATGACATGGTAAAGATAGGATGTCGCCTCTCATTTCCAAAGTATTTTGGATTTTGGATAAAAATCCATCTCGTTTATGCTTAAATAATTTGCAATCATAGCTTATTTATTTGTACGACTTAAAAAATTAAATTATATTTTTCTTAAAAGTCTTAACTATTTTATAAGATAGTAAAGATAACATCCATGTTCCGTGTTACCCAAAGTATTAGTGGTCGTGAAGGCTAATAATTCCTTAGAAATCATCTCATCTTACACTTAACAAATAAAGGTCCTAATTAACAATCTCTCAAAATCTTGCAACAAAAATCTTAAATTAAATATCAAAACAAAATTTACTACACGAATTAATAAACACTCACTCCTTCCTTTTCAAGCCTTATGCCAATGTATTTCTAAGATAATCTATGAGTGATCTTCCTTTGTCCAAATCCCCATCATAGTACAAATCTACAATCCCTATTTCAATTTTCAAAACTCCAGACAAGCAGTACATATACCACAAAGGTATATGAAAATTCATTGAAGTGATTTTCAGTGCTCCTTACCCAAGTTTGCCACAAACCGACTAACAACACTAAGTACATGAGATAAGTCAGGATGCAGGCAACCCAGTGCATACCTAAGTGAACCAACTACATTGCATAAATGCATACATAAGTGAACTAACTACACTGAAATATGGAGCCTTTGACATATAATCAATTTCATTTAGGTATAAAGATGATGATAATATGAAATTTGCAACTAATGTTGTACTCATGTAAAAATGCAGTTTTGATGTCTAATTGTTGAAGCTCGAAATCAGGTGTAACAAGTATGCTAAGTAAAGTGCAAATCAAGCTATGTTTCACAACACGTGAGAAGACTCCATTGATTGAATTCAATTTTAGGGATTTGGCTATACTCTTTTGTGACTAGCCTAGTTTTTTTTTTTATCTAGCCTCATCCTTTGAAGTAATACCTTCCTATTCCTTATAAGCCCATCTAATCATGAATGAGTATCATCCACCCATTGCAATCATCAGGAGTAATGGCCTCGTTATATGATGAAGGCTTATCATATTAAAAGCATAAGCTACGGTATTTCCTGCAAGAGTAGGCGTGTTGTCACAAGCTGTAATAATCTCTTTGTCTGATGTGTTGCATAAATCAATACTATGCTCTCGGCTCTTTCTCAAATTTGACATGCTTGTTTGAAGATGCATTTGACAACCATGGCCTCTAGCTTTCCATTATTGACATGGCATAGGTTTTGAATCAAGGTTCAATATTTTACCTTTCAATTTTATTCTTGCACATTGTGCAAGTGTACAAGGTTAGGGGAGATTACAAATGCGATGGGTTGGAGTGAATTTTCTGATACATGCTACAATCCCATTTAAAGACTACTAACCAGAGCTCTAAACAAACGGTAATAACTAAAAACACCCGCTTAAAAATAAAATAAACATCCTTGTAAGTTGTAAAGTTGCATCACCCTGCCCAACATTTATTTTTCTTAAATCTTTCGTATAAAACCTTTATTTTTATTATTTCTCATAATAATAAATTCGTTTTTATTATTTTCATGAAATAAGGAAATGGCATACGAATAAATGGTATGAAACTTTGATTCTATGTTAAAAAGACAATGTGTTTGTTTATTAACACGAGCAGATGCTTACAATAAAATGTTAATTGATATACTTAATTTAAAATATATTAACTATACCATTGAAGATTTGAAGAGAATTCGAGGTTTATAGGATTTCATATATCCTTCCAACCTTCCACAGATTTTTAATGAAATTGTAGTCGCAACTCAAATACGTTAAAGACTAATGTCATTCATCATGTTACAAAAACCGGACCAAATCTCTGTACATTCATTTCCATATGTATAAAAATATTTATAGATAATAGAATAGATGTATGTATGTCAAAAAGAAGTAAGAATGGGACCTCATGCATAAGCATACACCACAATTTTGATCAATTCTTGTAAATTCATTTGCATTTGCATTTGCATTTGCTTCCATCAACCAATCAATGAATGAATGAATCAGCTCCAGTTCCTTCTTGGCCTGAAATTGTTGCGCAACAAAATCATTATAATATATATATTTCCTTTCCTCTTCTTCTCTTAAAATTCATACAATCTATTTCTTCTTTCATTTCTCCCCATAAATAAATATAAACTACACTACACAATCTTTAAAAGTTGAGGTTTATGAAAATACTTCCGGTTCTTCTGCTGTGACCTCCAAAAGCACGCAAGCGCCCCAAACAAACAGCTGGCAACCGCAATCCCCACAGCGGCCCCCACAGGCACCACAAGCGCATTTGTTGATTGTATCAAATCCTCCGAAACTGCCCGGATTTTCATTTGGGCCTGCTCGAATAGACTCTTCTCTTTCTCCATGTAAAGTGACACTAGCATCTGCCCGTAGTACCTGCCCAAAAACTTGTACACCTCTTCCCGATCCCAATCCCCATCCCGGGCACTTGTGTAGCATTCCGGGCAGAGGTGTCTTGAAGGCCAGATTGCTTTTGGGAACTTCGGGTCACCCGTTTTATAAAGCGCTTCCGTTGACTTTAGTCTCTCGTTGACTTCATTGTGTGCTGTCCATAACCACAGGACAAAATCACGTGTGCTCGTGAACGGAGTACTTACCCTGCAACCACATTCATATGAGAGACTAAAAATTAACATTAAAAGTCAACGTAACAAACTTTGACTTTCTTACCTTGAGCACATATTGTAGAAGTGTTGACTACACTCTTCACAAGCAAAAAACTTATGTATAAAATCGCAAATTGACGTAAATGCCATTTGACTTTCTTCGTTTTCAACTCTCACAGATAATGAATGTAGCAAAACCCATAAACCACAACTGTAATAAAAAAAAATTTGTTATATATAGAATTATAAGATTAATATTTAATAATAATATATTATATACCTGAATCCTCTTGTACCATTTTTGCTACCACGACAAAACATCTGTACATATAATAGCCAAGATCAGGATTTTCAAAAGTATTAATTTTTTTTATCTCTTTTTAAGAAAATATAAAAATTACCCAATATCCACGTGGGACTTCTTTTCCACATATCTCAAATTTAGTAAGACCACCATGTTGAGTGTCGTTTTTTTCAGATGGTGACAAAATATTTGAAGGGTATAAATCGTCAAAATTCACAAGTATATCAGCACTTCCTCTTCGACACCTACAATATTTAAAATTATAAACTAAGTAAATAGAAGAAAAAAAAATGAAACAAAGAAAAATGGGTTTGTTATTTAAAATATGAACCTCCTTGAAGGGTGATGAGCTGTCATTAATTGCATAAACTTTATAAGAGTAGCTCGAGTTTCTTGTTTAATCATCTTGTTTTCAAGAATAATGTCAAAAGCAAGAGAAGTAGCCTCTTCAACATCATAAACAGCACGTGCAATCTATAAAAAAATAAGTAATTTCAAGCTTTAATATTACAAATAAAATAAAAAATAAAAATCTTACTTTTATAGAAAAATGAAGAATTGATTCAAACCTGTCCAGGGTCTGAGAAATTTGACTGAAGAAGCTCATCATTTTCATACTTTTCATCTTCCAATTTATATGAACTATGTAAAAAAGTAAAACATATAGTTAAAATTAAAAACTCATTAACATTGTATACACAAAAAAAAAAAAAAAACAATATAGCTTCTTAACAATTATATAGTATATACCTTCCTAATTGTGTATTAATCCATTTGAGTAAACGATCAGAAGTTCTTCCATCTTCAATAGAAACAATTTTACTTTTTTCATCTTTCCCATTCCAGCTACCACCCACAAATTTAGAAGGTGGGCCCCAGAATAGTGTAGGGTAGTGACTAATAGAGAATTTATCGCATAGATTAGTGTTTATCTGTGCTGCCAAACATGGGTAAAAAAGGAATTTGTTGCTAAACCATATAATAATTAAGTGACTTAATGAAAATATTAAGAATGAAGAATTGTAACCTTACCTTATTGGCACAGTCTACTCGTGTCATTAATATAATCCCTGGATGAACAGCATTGGCTCCATTGAAAAGCCTAGCAACCTTTTCATATTGAGGCTGTGAAATTAAAGATAAAAGATTAAGCAATGCATCAGAAATATTAACATTGTGAGGAAACTATATAAGTACCTTATAATTTCTGCAAGCTGGACACCTGCAAAGAGTAATAACAGCAACAAATTAGGGCTATAAATGGAAGATATAGATTGACTCCAGGGGAAAATTGTTTTCATGAAAGGTACAAATTCAAGAAATTTCTAGGTATAGATAGACCAAGTGTACTATAGGTATGGAAGAGAAGAAGTGAATGAGAATCCTTTTGTAACTAAAAAAATAGAATCTTTATAGCCATGAAACTTTAGATATTTCCTTTTAAGGTTCAGACATCCTACAATTTTCTGCAATGGTATGATTGTTCATCTCTGTTCTTGATTTCTTTTCCTGCAGCAACATCCGAGTAGGATCTGATTGCTACATCCTTTCCAAATCGAGGTAATTTGTGGATTTTAGGTAAAAACACTCTACTTTACTCCAGATTGATATGAATTCCAGATTGTATTTAGAGAAAAATCACTGGATGAAACAATTGTCCCATAAATTTGTAACGGTATCCATTTGGAATAACAGAGGTTCTGATTTATGTTTCCAAATATGGAAATTGTGAAAAGAAGAAACAGAGTAGAGCATAACTTCACGTAAAGGAAATGAAAAAACTGACAGCAGAAAATTCCTCAATAAAGTAAGATCTAACTTAATAAACCCTAGAAATAAAGAAAAGGGATGTCATAGACCAACCAGTGAGCGAAGAACTCCACGATGGCAAAAGTAGCGGGTGTATCCTTGAGAACTGCATCGAAGTTGGTGGCGTTCAAATCAACAGCGAAATCAGGTTGATCTCCACCGCTGTTGACGGCACGTAGGAGCAATCGAGATCCCGCCGCATGATTGATTATCGAAGCCGATGAGAACAAGGATAATGATAAGAAGCTCCAGAGAAGCAGGGGCGTCGTCAAAAGCCTAAACCCCGAAGACATGGATATAGAGAAAGAGAGAGGGGAGGTTCTGAGAGATCGGAGTGCTGTTCGGAAAATTTGGTTGACCGGCGGAGAAAGGTGCGTACGGCGCTACTTCCGATTGAAAACGGGAAGTCTGTCCAAGACTCCAAAGTAACCGGTGTTTTGAAGAAATAAATTGTGCAAAATACATTACCATTAAAACACTTTAACCTTTTTTATGATTAAACGTTATTGTATTAAAAAAAATGCAATTTGATTCTATTTATGAGAAAGTCGTTTCTTTATTTATTTTATATTTTAGAGCTAAATTTATTAAAAATCTTTAAAGAAATTTAATATTTAACTTTATTTAATAAAAATCTATTATTATAACCATTTTTTATTTACCAACTAATCTTAAAATATGTTTTTAGTTAACTAATTTGTTAATTTTTTTTAAAACATTTATCATATTTTCAATAAAAGCTATTACTTGGCAATAATCTTTAATAAAATAAATATATTATAGTATAAAGAAGTTTGGAGCATGTTTTGAAAATTGGACCGGATCGGCTGGTTCAATCGTAAATCAGTCATAAATCCAGTTCTTAGAATCAAAAAAATTATTAATTATGGGAACCGGTCAAAACCGATCTGGTCGAACTGGAATTTTAAAAGAAAATTATTCTTTTTTATTGTTTGTATTTTTATTTTATTAAAATTAATAATAATGTAATAATGACATCATCCGGTTTTTATGACCGGTCCAACCAGTTGAACTATCAAATCGATAAGACGGCTGGTTCGGTTTTCAAAACCTTGGTTTTTAGTAATTTAGTAAATTCTGCCAAGTTAATTATAGATTATATTTTAACAATACATACACATTCTTGAATTTAATTTGAATTATTTTAGCATCTTTGATGTATCATTTTTTGTACCATTCAATCTGAGTTTTATTTTAGTCTTATGTTTCCACAAAAGAAAAAACCTCACCAAGATTTCTAAGAAGTTTTGAAGACCTAATAATCTTATTTCTAGGTTTCCATCTATAGAAAATGTACATTATATTCTAAAAGCTTGATTGTGTAAAATATCTAACATTTTATGATTTTTTTTATTATAAAAAAAATCCTAACAATTTTTTTTATTTGACTCTTTTAACAGGTTTAACGATAACCTTTTAATTTTACACCGTTTTTTCGTTTTGGATCATGATTCCCTTGATTTTCTTATTGTGGTTGGTATGTTGTTCTTAATGGTTTTCAACATTAGAATTCGAAGGAAACATTTAATTTTTTTTAAACAAAAATAAATATTATTGTAGCCAATTCTTGTTGGAAAAATACATAGTAAAATCTAGGGGTGTGCGCGGTGCGGTTAGGTGCGGTTTAGAGTCAAAACCGCAAACCGCACCGCATATGCGGTTTGAATATTTTAGAAACCGCAAACTAGGGGTGTTCATAACCGGATATCCGAAAATTCGGATATCCGAATTTCGGATATCCGAAATTTCGGATAATTGATTTTTGGTATCCGATTCCGTATCCGAAATTTCGGATACGGATTCGGATACCAAAACGGATATCCGAAAATTTGTAATTTCGTTCAAATTTGAAAATTTTATATTAGAAAAACATATTTTTAAAATAGAAAGGCATATGAAGTAATATATGTATCTAATTAAGGGTATTATGAATATGTTTTAGTTACTAACATTCATATTATAAGACATATGTGATTAAGATAACATATAATGTATAAACTAAAATCAAAATTTTCGGATATCGGATATCCGAATTATCCGAAAAATCTGAAAAACACTATCCAATTCCGATTCCGAAAAATCGGATATCCGAAATTTCGGATATCCGAAAATTCGGATATCCGAAAATTCGGATATCTGATTTTTCGGATAATTCGGATTCGGAATTTCGGATCGGAATTGCGGATACGGATATTTTTGAACACCCCTACCGCAAACCACACAACAGATGTTCGAAACCGCATTATGCGGTGCGGTTTGATGTGGGCGGTTTATGCGGTTTGGTTGCGGCTTGTGCGGTTTAATGAGTTGTTCAACATTAAATCTATCAAAAAACCAAAAAACTGACCTGGTTATAAAAATTGATTGCTTTCATTTTATAAAAACAAATACAATTTTCAAGTTAAATCGTTTTTAATAAATTGTGATTCATGCTACTATGGTTTTGTAAGTGTCATTGTTATTGCTTTATATTGCCGTTATAGTTGCTATATTCTTGTAAACCGTGAGATCTTCATCTAATAGTGATTTAATGTTACTTTATAGATATTTGGTTATTGTAAGAAATATATTTAAATACATCGTTTCTAAATCGTGATTTGAAATTATAACAAAGTAAAGAAAAAAAAAGTATATATATAACATGTGGTGCGGTGCGGTTTGAACCGCGGTTTTATAAATACAAACCGCAAACCACACCGCATAGTGCGGTTTGATAAAATGATGAACCGCAAACCGCACCACGAAATTCTAAACCGCATTATGCGGTGCAGTTTGTGCGGTGCGGGCGGTTTGTGCGGTTTTTTGCACACCCCTAATAAAATCTACTTAAAGCATGCACGGGGATAATAGCAGCTAATAACCAACCATCTAGGTTGACCTAAAATCTCACATTGTTTTAGAATCAAATAGAAAATATTTTTCAAGCTCCTATCTATTTTCGAAATCTAATTTTAGATTTCATATTTTTCCTGTTAAAAACTTTAATAGTAATTTGATTCATAATAACGGCATTAGATTCCTTTTTGACCCATTTTTTCCGTTAAAAGACATATAACATAGTCAACAAATTCCTTAAGCATTCACTATTATTCAATTTCAAATTAGCTAACAGTGAACCTTTAGTTAGCATAAGCAAAACCTTTGGTCTCCAAAATATTTCGTTTGCTTGCCGAAGGGTATGCATCTCCTAATTTGAAATTTGATAATAATACAATGTTTAAATAATGAGTTGAGTCAAATTAGATTCCAATATAGATTAAAGTTTGAAAGTTGTTTTTTGTTTGATTTTGAAAAGAGTTTAAGATGTCAAGCAGCATAAATTGTTGTTTTAATTTCCATATGGTACTACTTGTAAGCATCAATTAAAATCACTATTATTAAATAAATGAATTTAAATAGCGCCATCAACCATCAATTGTTATTAATTTCATTTCATATAATTCAATTGAGCTGGTCTATTTTCGTTTTCATGGTGTACGTGTATTCTCCCTAACTTAGAGTAATAAACAATGCCCATTTTATAACTTTCAAAACAACTAAGATAACGACTTGAGATTGTTAATAGCGTACAATAAATACTCATGATTTATAGCATAACCGATATAAAATAAAATTTCGCAAGATATAAGGACTATTTGTATCTAGTTATTTCGATTAAGATCCTATATAGAAGATGAGACTGATTTAACCATACGAGTATAAATATGTGTTTTATAATTTTTATTTAACATATAATTGAAAAGTATAAAATTTATTTCATAATACCATTACTTTAAAATAGCAATACTTAAAACATTAATTTTGAAACATTCTTTTGCCAAGAATAATCATATAAAATATAAACCGCTATTTCCCCCACCCTAACGACTACAAACCTAACACCTACCCCATAGACGGAACAACTACCAAAAAATGTATGAGTTTTACACTACTAAAATACCAAAGTATGATTTATGTTTCATCCACTTTTAGATCATAAATCAGAAACTTCTTTCGTCTAGTTTTAATTAAACCATAATGATAGTGACAATTAAAACAAAATGAAAAAAAAATGTTTACCACATGTGAATAAAGTGTAGCATTTTCATAAGGATTATTATTCCATTTCCATGATTGATTTTAATTCCAAGGGGAAGTGGTGTTTTTTTTCTATATATTGATGAAATAGAAATATAAAATTATACATTATAGATCAATTCCATCAACACATAGGAAAATTTATCGGCGATTTAATGATATTTTTTTCAAATTTCTAACTCTGCAGAAACAAATTATGATCTTTTTCAGTAGTTTCTATAAGAAATATTATTGACGATTTAGGGTTTATAGAATATAGAGCACAAGCATACCTATATTGAGTCAACTAGAGAAAATCCTAACATTATATATAGTTTTTTGTTGTTCGTAACTAGTGATAGACTAATTTAATAAAGTCCGTTGTTCAAAAGAAAAAAACACAAATGTTTTTCATAAAATAAACTAGAGTATATATATATATATATATATATATATATATATATATATATATATATATATATATATATATATTATATTTTAGAATAGCTAAAACTATTTTTATTTTGAAATTTTATGGTATTTAATTCAATTTTATATTTTATTTTGATTGATTCAGAGGCCATTGAATATGTCTCTAGATGAAAACATGTTGTTTGGTCAAGCCTTTGAATAATTGTGTTGAATAATAAAATGACTATTTTACCCTTTAATTAAGAATTTCACAACAACATCAAATTTACATCTTTACCAAAATACCATACAAAAAAAAAAAAAAAAAAAAAAAAAAAAAGACATTTCGCTTCATTTGCTTCATTTACTTTTGTAAGTGAAAATTTTACATACGATAACAAGATACATAAATCGTACATGATACAGATTATGCTTAACGCAAGGCTACTTCATTTTCCAATAATCCCCTTAGAATACACATTTAAGACACTAAACATTGAACACGTGTCAACACTTCAACATTTGGTCCTGATTGCTCAAACCTCATGCCAACACAGATCAGTGAACACGTGTGACAGGTGGCTGTTGCTGAGGTGGCGTTAGACTACCTTCTCCCTCATCATCATCAGAAGAAAGAGACGACATTGATGCACTTAAAGCCTAAAAAAATCAACGCCAAAACAAAGTAAGTGCTTGACTGGTGTCAACATGACAAAAAAAAATGAAGCTTTTTGTCAATACAAAAGACGTAAATGCCCTCGTAGCAACACCAATTGGAAAAACAAGAGAATGTAAAATACTCACCAATCTTCGTCGCCACTGTATCAAAGCCACCATCGCTCTCATCATGATATATATTGGTACAACAATTGCTGAAGTTCTTAAGAACCATAACTAAAAAAAAAAAAAAAAAAAGTTGATTATCAAACTAGAAAATAAAAGAAAGACAAATAAATAATCTTTATCTTACCACAAACATAGGAAACGAGTAATTCCATGTTCCATTTACAATAGCAGGAAGTGAGTGACGCAAGAATAGAAGAACCACAAACTACAAACAAAACATAAGAAAAAAATTAATTAATTGGAGTGGTGGGTGGGTGGGGGGGGGGGGGGGGGGGGTAGATTGCATACAATGGCGGCAACTGAGCGGAAGCATGTGAAGCTTCTAGAAGTGGGGTCCACATATTCATCATAATCTTGATCGAGGAAATTACGATCGGGTGAAACAACTGTAATTAATCGAGGATTATTGTTTATATCCCTTCTAGTTACATGCCAATGTCCCCTGAAAACCTCACAAATGAAAAGATTTAGCAATCAAATTAAAGAGGTTTGACTTTTGAGGTCAAATGAACCGATTCTTAACTTCAAATTGTCAAGACTCTTAAAATATATATTTGACCTCAAAAGTCAAATTATTCCACTTTTTTTTTTTCATATAGTAACAGAATGTGAATATGTACCTCAAGTTCAATGGAATTCCCCCTAACCGAAAAACACGTGATGGTGCTGTGTAACCCGGTTTGAATTGCTGCAATTAAATTATAAAACTCTTTCAGAATCTTATGATCTAGATGAATAAATAAATATATGATTTTGAGAACAATAAATGATATTTCCCAAAAAAAAAAAAGAGATTAAGAAATAATAATGATAATGATAAGACACCTGGTGACAAATTTCACACATGGTGTCACCTTTCTCATTACACCATCTTTGAACACATCTGCGATGAGCATACTACAAAAGGTAAAACAAACCATTTTGTGAAAATTGCATTTTTATTTAATAAGAAAAAGTAGACAAATGAGAACGTCTCAAATGTTGAATAACTAACCTTCAAGCTACCACAACAAGAGCATGGGGTCTCCATATTTGAATCGAAATCCTCATCTTGACATATTCTGCATTCAACCAATTTCTTTGGAGTGAAGTCAACATGAGAAGAAGAAGAACAATCGATAACTGTGTCATCTTTTCCCAAATTCTTTGAAGGGTTTCTGCTTTCGATTGCAGCTTCTAATGTTGATTCTGTGAGCAATCGATCAACCAAAAAGACGAAATGATCCCCCATCACAACACCAATATTTTATTATCCTGAACAAAGAAACCCCTCGACATTAATAATTTAATTATGCATCAAAATAAATTCTAAAGAAGATAAAAGCATATAAAAAAACGGGCGCCCAGATGAATAAAAGCATCAAAATAATCCGATAGGGATTTACTTTGTAACCATTATATTTGCCAGTTTATATTTAGAACAATCATAATATTTAGAAAAAACACCAGAAAAATACTTCCTTGCAAAATAAAATGAATTCCAATCGAAATAAAGTTGTGTAAAAAGATTCAAATAGCAAAACCCAATTCAAGAAAAGCAAAAATTAGTGGAAAAAGGAGCCCATACCTTCCAGAAAGATGAACTTTCGATCAAAACAAAGCTAAGGCCATATATAAAGCTTCAATTTTTTTTTATATAAAAAATAACAGTTTCATAAGAGCTGGAAAAGGAGTCAAGATGAAGAACAAGCTAAAGTCGATAAAAAAAAACAATTTCAAAAAAGGTGAAGCATTAAGACAGAAAAGGAACCCTTATGAAATCAAAAAGGTGAAATTTCGATCGAAACAAACATGATGTCGTTCATAAAGATTCAAAACCCTAATTTGACAAAAGCGAAAAAGTAAGGGCAAAAGGATGAGTACCTCCAGATGAGTAAAAAGCGGGTTATCTTTCTTGGAACGAATAACACCTAAAGGCATGGAAATACAGATTATAAACGAGAATCTTAGATATATAGTAATGGAAGAAAGGTGAAAAAAAGAGGAAAGATGAAACTTACAAGATGGGGATCGGATGAGTTGAAAGCCAAGAAAGTTATGAATATTTGAGGCTCTTATGAGGGTTTTGCTTTCAGCTTTGGAAATCCCTCTTGTAAGGAGCACTCAATTTGCATAGTGGAATCCATTCATTCATGTACACTATAATAAATTTCTTTCTTGCTCCTCTGTAATCTTGTACATGGTTTCTCTTCTCTCTATACACACACAGAATGTGTAACTGTGTGAGAGGACACGATTGATTTTTTTATATTAAAGAAAATTATTGGACATTGTTGGTTTAAACTTTAAAGATATGACATATATTGGTTTGTAATTTAATAAGCACATTAATTAATAATTGGATATTTAGAGCCATATTAAATGACAGAATTCAACTTATGATGTCAATTTCAACATCTTCAGCATTCTTGAGTTTTGACTTGTAATTTATATGCATTATTGAATATTAAAAATCAAATAAGGTCCAAACTCCAAACAAATATTGTATGAGTTAATCAAGTATAACTTGTCAGAATATCTCAATATCGTATATATGATTAGTATATCTTACTCAATTGGATCTCATGACAGAAGGCTAGAATCGTATAAAATCGTGGTGTGGCTTTTAGTTAAAATCGTATAAAAAATAGCATATGTTGGATTGTTGGTTTTTAGTTTGTTAAAATTGTATCGTTTGATTTTTTTTGTTTGTTGGTATTTGCAATTTTAGGTGCAATTTTATTTTTGTGTGGTTTGGTTTGGTTAATGTAGTTCTTACATTTAAACGGTTTTAAAAACCGCAAAACCGATCAACTACAGTTATATTCTTTTAAGCTTTACATTACACAAGTGCAAATGTAAGTTCTATGCATGTCACAATTTTACCCTTTCGAATATTTTTTATTTATAAGGCTATGGATCACAGTCTACTTAACAAAAACAAAAGTTTTTTGAAATTAATGGGGAACCTTTAATGGTAAATTTCATGGAATTTCATGGCATGTTTCGAGCAAGATCACCAAATGATAAGATATTTAATCAGTGAGTAAAAATCATAGGCCAAAATTTTTAGTGCCGGTCACCGAAAATCTACGGTGCCAAGACAAAAAATGTTCGGTGGTCCACGAAAAAATATCCCATGGTTTTTTTCAATTATAACATTGAACTTTTATATTAATGTTGATTATAACATTTTACATTTTAATGATAACTTCAGCATTATATGGTTGTTATTTGTTAACTTTAATGGCCAAACTCTTGAGAGTAGTATGAATTAAATTGTGAAATACAATTTATGTTCCAAGCACTATGTGGGATTGATGGTCCCTTATATAAATGAAGGCGGATGTAAAGTAGTTGTGCCATGAGAATGAAACCAAAGTTATTTTGGTTTTGTTGTGAGAAGATGAGATTTTGAAAATGGAAAGAGATACCGAGTTGTAAGATCTTTAAAATGTCGCCGCACTAAATGTGAATAAATGTATGTGATTCAATAAGAAAGTCTATTTTTTTTTAAGAATCTCAAGTTATGAGAATATGCTTGTAAGTGTTTTACCTTGAGCATAAAAAGGTAATAGTTGGCATTGAGACCGTGTATTTAGTTTAGTATAAAAAAGTTGGTAAACCGTATCATCTGAACAGCTCACGTCAGTCTGTTCTAATGTCAATATGAGAGGTCAGTTGCAGAACACTAACAATATTTTGGGTGAGTCAAAGTTTAGTTTGAACCCTGGACCCGGTGTGTAGAATTTCACTCATCAAATATTAAGCTTCCTCACGAGAGCAAGTTTAGTATGTATGTTTAGTACCCCAAAATGATTATGAACTGCTTAGAAACATGTCTATGAGACATGATATCAATGGTCTGGGAATTTGTTCTCGTCTTGGATCACTTATAAGTTATAACACTGGTTAACTAAGGTAGTCACGAGAGCCTTTCCTTAGCTTATTTAAACTACCATCTAGTTTTATTTTGGATCTCTAATACCAGATGCATGCTTATATATTTAGTTTCAGTTTCTTTCAATAGGATGCCTAGATTTTATTTATTTATTTATTATTATTATTATTATTTTAAGTAATGTTAATCATTGTTCACTTTTGTCGTTTGAAAATTGATCTCAAATTAGTAGGCGGTTCTTGTTTGAAAATTGATTTAAAGTTGGTAGACACAATTTCATTTTGAATGCGTCAAACGTAATAGTTTTTGCCTTCCTAGTTGTAATTACAATGAATCAATTGGATCCAATTCAATACAAGTTGATTTCATTAATAAACAAACTTTAATTCCTCGGGTTAAAAATCTTAATATTATACTTATATAAGAATTGGTCAATAACTTGTTGAACAACATAAAAATCTTTAAAATATTTGAGAGTAGAAGATTTCAATTGCTCTAAGTGTCGTTTCTTTAGTACGAAAAAAATTATCTAGTCATTTTAACATATTTTAACATTAATTCTTTTTTTATTTTTTTGACAGATATTTTAATATTTAAACAAAATTATATTTACAATAATTATAACATTCACCCAGAACGGAAAATAAACATCTGTCATCAACAACAACTAGGCTCCTCCGTAATTGTGCCGAGTGACGGTTTTCTTGACCTACAAAACGCCAGCCTATAACTAAATTCCGGCATCTCCACCACCACACTCCGGTGCTCCGTCTCCACCACGTTCACATCGCCACTTTTCTCCAACTCCGGAGATATCCTCCCCGAAATCCGCTTAGCGGCATTGTTAGCTGCCATCCAGAAAACCGCCATATCCGCAGGTGTAACCATCGAATTCAACCTCCTCATCGGAAACATAATATAAATGTTATTAGACTCCAATTCTTCATCCGCTGACAGAGGTGAAAATCTTCTGTTGATGTTTAACGACTGGGAGTTGACGAGGAAGAAGTCGGGACACTCGAGCATGATCTCTGCCGCCTCGACGGACTCCTGAAACTGTCGGATTTCACCGGCCGGAAATATAACTCTGGCTGCTTTGTTGCTCTTGATTCTAGGCGACAACATGGAATTGCAAGCTGAAGCGTAATTTCCCATTTCTGATAGAAATTCTCGAGGTCTGAAATCTGAAAGAAATAATCGGGGAAGATATAAAGAGTTTGAAATGCGTGTGAAAATATGTGTTGTGGATATGTGGGTGTTGGGAAAAGTGGAAGAAGGTGAGTAAGATGAATTGTCACGCAGATAATTACGGCCGACTTAATTTAATATTTAAAGATGTAACGGAAGAGGAAATACTTTGATAGAAGGATTTTGGTTAATAATATTAGAGTAAATTACATGGTCCTTATGGTTTAGGGTAATTCATCTATTTTATCCCTAACTTAATTTTTTAACTCGGAAGGTCCTTATTGTTTGTTTTTGTTACGCACTTGGTCCCTGTCTTACCTAAAAAGACTATTTTGACCTTGATTTATTAATTTATTTAAATAAACACACCCACAACCCCCCCCCCCCCACCTTACCTTACTTACTCCATCATTTTTCTCTATTTAAATAATAGTCTTTTTAGGTAAGACAGTGACCAAACGCGTAACAAAAACAAACAGTAAGGACCAAGCGCGTAACAAAAACAAACAGTAGGGACCAAGCGCGTAGCAAAAAAGAAACAATATGGACCTTCCGACTTAAAAAAATAAGTTAGGGACCAAACGTGCAAATTAGCCCAAACCATAGGGACCATTCGTGTAATTTACTCATAATATTATATTTTTAAAACAAACCTATGTTTCGAAACTAAAATTAGATTTATTAATTTCTTCTGAAGATTGTTAAAAAATGGTTTTAATTTGCCATCTCGTGTCATTTATTAACTTCTTCTAAATATTGTTAAAAAATGGTTTTAATTTGCCATCTAGTGTCATCAAAGTTTTAACTATAACATGTGATAAACCATAAATTTTGTTTCACGTATTTAAGGATAATGACTTATAAAAGTAATAAGTTTATGTTGTGTTCACGTTTAGTCAAAGATATATATATATATATAGATATATATATATATATATATATATATATATATATATATATATATAATATATATATATATATATCGGTTGAATCTCCCTAATAAATAAAGATGTTTTTTTGTCACATATCTTATTCTCATTTATTTTGATACATGACATCTTTTAAAATATTCAACAATTTTTATTTTCTACTTGTCATTTTCTGCTATTTTCTCTTTTCTTAAAATTAAAAACAACATTTGACTTAATATTTATATATGTAACGTATTTAATCAAAATAATTGCTCAACAAACCTTTATTTCTTTCCTTTTTTAAAATCACTAATATGATGCATCTATCATTCCAATTTCACAATTAATGGTCTGATAACAATTCCAAATTTATACAATGTTGAAGGAAATGAATTCAATCGTGATATCAATCATGTTGTTTCTATAGTGGAATCATTTCCAAAATCAATTTTCAATATGATGTATATATGATTTTCTACATATTTTATTCTTATTCTTAGTAGTTTAATTTATTTGGTTGTTCTTCAAATCCTTTATTCTGCATATTCATAATCGACTACACTACCATCTACACAAGGTTAGCAAAGTGATTTTGTGTATTAAATTCTTTTTATTGAATTTATTATTTGTTATACATGATTTTGTTTTAATGATGACCTTTTTTGCAAATCAATTGACTATAGAATATGCAAAGTCTTAAGTATTTTGGTTTTCTTTTCGCTGCATTGGTCCCTGTTGATGTAAGTCTACTATTTGAAGGCTTTTGGATGTTGGAATGCATATATGGTGTTCAATAGAATGCCTCAAAGAAATAACTGTTGACACCACAAACATTTTAATTCTTTGATATGGTTTTCTTTTGGCTACATTGTTCGCTATTGACAAAAAAGTATAACTTTGATATTTTTGTTGTACATTAACTGGAAGTTTCCAATATTTGTTTCAGTGAAATGGTTATTGCCAATAATGCAGGGCCATTTCTGATCTATAGGCCAATTCAAATATTCACATCTACTACTTTATGGTTATACACTTCATTTATCTCATATAACCTTTTGGGCTTCTAATAACCATCATTTGCCCTGCTATAATGCAACTATGTGTGTGACATCAAGAACCATCTGGGAACTGCAATCACCCATCTATGTGATGATACTTTATGCTAGGCAAGAAATGCTAATACTTATATTAACAAATTTTCCATTGATATGTTTTCCTATTGCTCACTACATTTTGTGATTTGGTTATGTTTTGGCATGTTGACATTTGGTTTACTTATGGGTGATTTATGTTAATCTTTTACAACCTAAGGATCCTAGCCTCGAGAATGATTTACGTTAGTATGAGTAAAAGATGGATTAACTGAAGCAAACCTGGTACTAGATGATTTAATGGAGTTGTTAAAATGTTTCCTCACTTCATCTTATTTCCTTATGAGAAAACTTGATGCATATGATTTCAAGTATTTTTGTAAAAGACTGATTCATTCTTCCTATTTTTTTTCATGAATAAACTTGGTGTACATTATGTCATATTACGAAATGACAAGTTTTTGGATTTAATCATTTTTAAGACTGCTTTGATCCAATGATTGTTGGAACTTTGTTAAATGAAAACTTTCTCTATGGGACTTGTCCCACATTGGAAGAAAGAGGAAACTTATACTCCCTTAAAAAGCCTACTACTAGTTGTTTACCAATTAGATCAAAAGCTTGGACTAAAGGGATTTGGTTGGATTTGGTGATTGGGCTAGTCAAATTGGTCTTGAAAGACTTAGATTTATATATATATATATATATATATATATATATATATATATATATATATATTTAATGGTCAAAAGATTGGCCTTGGGGTCTCATTGACTAGTTACATTATTATTATTATTATTATATATATTAATTCTGATTTTGACTTTTATTTTTATATTAAACAAATCTGTTAAATTCGTTTTAACTGTCTTGACAGTTATTTTCGGTTGGCAGTTTTTGGAGGGAAAAACAGTCAATGTATATCTATAAATAGATCACCAAAGACCAGATTTCGGGTTCAGAAAAACCACACACATATTCCTCATATAATTTCGTATTCCACAAACAATGAAGGGAACATAGTGAATTTCGTCAGAATCAAGAGAAGATCTTGGTTGATTGTTGTATCCTCTTGACAGATCCCTACTAGGGAAATTTATGTCTTAGGACACTGCAAAGTAGACCTCAATCTATACAGTTTCGTGATTATATTTTCTGCGAAGTCATCATACAAGTATGTTTTCTGTAAATTAATTCTTGTATATTACATACATTTGAATTTCGTTTGTTTTATTTCGATTGGTTTTGTTGATTGTATACTTATGTCATAACAGTCTAAGCCAAAAAGCAAAAGTGAAGAATGGATCAAAATTCCATCATCAAAACACATGTGGAAAAGCCTGAGAAATTCAAAGGCTCAGATTTCCGGAGATGTCAACAGAAGATGTTGTTTTATCCTAACAACTCTTCATGTTTCCAATGTTCTCACTGATGATTCTCCCTCTCCTCCTACTGGTGTAACCACTGCAGAACGAACAACACCACCCACTGCAGCCCAATTGGTAGAACATCAAAGGGCTGTGGAAACTTGGAACACAAATGAATATAATTGCAGAAATTATATCCTGAATGCTTTGGATGATTCCCTCTATGATATCTACTCTACCATGACTACTGCAAGAGAGATATGGGAATCACTGGAAAAAAAATACAAAACAGAAGGGGCATGTTCCAAGAAATTCGTGATTGGAAAGTTCATGAATTACAAGATGGTGGATACCAAATCTGTGCTCAAACAAGTGGAGGAAATTCAAGTCATTGCACATGATCTTGAAGCTGAAGGTATGGGTATAAAATCTAACTTTCTTGTTGGTTCAATCATTGAAAAACTTCCTCCTTCTTGGAAGAATTTCAAACTATATCTTAAGCACTTAACTGATGACATGAGTTTTGAGCAACTTGTGTTGAGAATTCGTGTGGAAGAAGATAACAGATTGAATGAGAGAAAGCAGATGCAAATTCCTTGGAACCAAGTGCAAACTTTGTTGGAGAAGCAAGTACTTCAAGGACAAAGCACAAAAACAAGAAAGGGAAGCAAGGCTCCAAACACTCTTCCAAATATGACAAAAATCATGGCCCTAACAAGAAGAATTATGGTCCATGTTATGTTTGTGGCAAAACTGGACACAAGGCCAAAGATTGCAGATTCAGGAAGGGTCAAGGAGGAAATAATGGAGGAAACAATGGAGGGAACAATGGAAACAATGGTGGCAATTCTGGTGGAGGAAATTCTAGTCAAACCAACATGGTTGAATCACCAAATCAGTTTGTTGTTGTGATTCAAACCAACATGGTTAGCAATTGTGTGGATTGGTGGATTGATACTGGAGCCACAAGGCACATTTGCAACTCCCGAACCATGTTTTCTACATACCAGAAAGTCTCGGCTTCTGAACCAATGTTTATGGGGAATGGCTCTACTGCAAAAAATTGAAGGAAAGGGAAAAGTGAAGCTACAACTGACTTCTGAAAAAGAACTTGTTTTAAGTGATGTCTTGCATGTTCCTGAAATTACTAAGAATCTGATTTCTGGTCCTATTCTTAGTAACAAAGGTTTTAAACTTGTATTTGAGTCTGATAAGTTTGTTCTCACAAAGGGTGGGGCGTATGTTGGAAAGGGATACCTTAGTGAGGGTCTCTTCAAAGTCAGTGTCTTACCTTTGTACTATGGTGTTGAAACACCAAACAATGATGTAACCAATGTTAATGTTAATGCAATAATGGGCACTACTAGCTCCTCTTCTATGTATATGCATGATCCTTCATTTTTGTGGCATTCTCGTTTGGGACATGTCAATTTTCATTCTATTCAAAGAATGGCAAAACTTGGCATGTTACCAAAATGTTCATTAGACAAAAACCTAAAATGTGAGGTTTGTGTGGAATCAAATTTTCACAACATCCTCATAAATCAGTTGAAAAATCTAATGAAATACTTGGCTTAATCCACTCTGATTTATGTGAT